GAACCAACACTGTGCAAGTAGGCTCCGATTCCAATTTTTATGAACTAACACTATGCGGGTCCGATTCCGATTCCTACATGTGCAGGAACTAGAACCGGGATAAAAACCTGGGATGGGAACCGGAAGCGGGTACTTGGTATAGAACCTGCTTGGAATCGAGTTGGGTACTTGGTATGGAACCTGTCATGGAACCGGGACTGAAAAAAATATTAGTAAAGAATGGGGGGGCTATCGTAATTTTACATATAAAAAAATTAAAATGGGAATTACATGTGTTTTAATGCTATATAAAAAAAATTTACATATAAAAAACTTTAATATAATATAAAAAAAGTTACATATAAAAAAATTTAATATATTATAATATTAAAGTTTTGATTGATTAAGTATATAATTGGAATATTAAAGTTTTGATTGATTAAGTGTATAATTGGAAATATGATACAATTAAACGTGTTTTAATATTATTAAAAGAATTATTTTTGAATAAACTAGTATAATTGATTGAATAATATTTAGTTATTTACTTCAATTATCAAATTCTAACTTCTAATTATATCTATAGTAAATGAGTAATTAATTAATTATATATGATAAATTGATAAACATTACTACATTAGTACATTATTTAATTAAATGATTAAAAATTTAATTAATTATAACATTACATTAGGGGCGTTTGGATCATATAATGTTTCATTATAGGGGGATATTATATTAACGGAATAAAATATCACCTTGAAGATTACTGAGAATGTTTAGAAATAGGTTTATTTGGTTTGAATAAATTGGTGAATAATNGTGTTTAATGTTATATAAAAAAATTTACATATAAAAAACTTTAATATATTATAATATTAAAGTTTTGATTGATTAAGTGTATAATTGGAAATATGATACAATTAAACATGTTTTAATGTTATTAAAAGAATTATTTATAAATAAACTAGTATAATTGATTGAATAATATTTAGTTATTTACTTCAATTATCAAATTCTAACTTCTAATTATATCTATAGTAAATGAGTAATTAATTAATTATGTATGATAAAATGATAAACATTACTACATTAGTACATTATTTAATTAAATGATTAAAAATTTAATTAATTATAACATTACATTGGGAGCATTTGGATCATATAATGTTTTATTATAGGGAGATATTATATTAACAGAATAAAAGATCACCTTGAAGATTACTGAGAATGTTTAGAAAATGGGTTTGGTTTGTTCGAATAAATTGGTGAATAATATGTTTGGTTGGGAGGATAAATGGGTGGGTATGTTATATAGACTACTAAATTGCCCACCTTTTTAAATATTAATATAACGGTATTTTTTGAATAGTTTTTTTTAACCCTCTACTTTTTAGATTAAGCAAAAACATCCTAGCAACTAAAAACGTTTTAAACTTAACAAAAATACCCCTACCCACCCCCAAGCCACTGCCGGCAACCAGCCACCACCGCTGGTAGTGACTTCGGCAGTGCTAGAGATCTGGCTGTGAAATGGCCAGGTCAGACCTAGCTGTTTCACGGCTAGATCTGTCGTCGTTTCAAGGCCACATCCTTGGCCGTGAAACAGCCAAATCTAGCTTTTCCGATCCATGGTTGGAAAAAGCCTCACCAGCGCACGGCCGACCATATACGACCAATCGTACGCCATTATGACAACTTTTGGCAACCTCCGATGGCGGTCGACGGTGGCTGCCAATGGTGGCTAGTTTTGGGTATAATGGCATTTTTGTAAATAATGACAATAACAAGGGCAATGTCATCCAAAAAATTTAAAAGTAAGGACAAAAGTGTCTGCATGAGTGATTGGGTGTTTTGTAAATATTAAAAAATATAAGGTTAATTTGGACCAAATGCTCAACTGTTTAGGGGCAACATGGGAAAAAAATTGTAATATCAGGGTAAGTTTTAATAACAGCACAACCCAACACCGCGCGCGCCCCCCCCCCCTCGGAGTATTAAGATTCCCGGAAATATACCCCCCAAATTGGCAACTATTTGTCATAAAATATTCTGAGAATAATTTTCAATTTAAACAATATTCATTATTATCCTAGTTATCTAATATTAACCCGATCCAAATGGCCCCATTATAGTATGACAATTCATGCCTCATAAGTCATGGCATATTAAGAAAGGTAATTGTTTTGTAATCAAACTTAAATTAATGACATAAAACAAACTCATACTAATTATTTAATTAAATATTCATAAATCATATTAATATTTTATTTTTATTTTTTTGTCACAAATTCACAATTAATGTTAATTTAACTTATAGGCAAATTCAAAAACTTCATTTTCACTCTAGTAATTAAAATATTATATAAATTAATTTTATCTATTCATAAGTAATTAAGTATGAATCGAGGTTCAACGAGTATCAAAGTCAAAGATAAATGATTAGTCGTTAATTTATTAAAATACAAAAATCAGAACCACCTACTAATTGTGTAAGAAACTTTTTTCGAAATAATTTAATTATTAGTAATTATATTTTATTTCTCTATTAAAAAAAAAAAAGATATTATAATGTTAAAGTTTTGAGGGTATGTGATTAAAACTTAAGAGAATTAAAATAAATTAGATTCATTAATTATTTGATAAATTAAGTATATAATTGGAATTAGGATCCAATTAAAATGCTTTAATGTTATTAAAATAATTGATTTTGAATAAAATAGTATATTTTATTGAATAATATTTAGTTATTTACTTCAATTATCAAGTTCTAACTATATCTATATTAAATTAGTAATTAATTAATTATATATGATAAATTGATAAACAGTAGTATATTATTTAATTAATTATAACATTACATTATAATATGACAACTCATGTCTCATGAGTCATGGTATATTAAGAAATCATTAAATAAACTTAGAGTTAGAGTCATACTAATTATTTAATTAAAGATTCATAAATCATAGTAATATTAATATTTAATTTTATTCTTTTGTCACAAACTCACAATTAATGTTAATTTAACTTGGGGGCAAATTCAAAAACTTTATTTTAACTCTAGTAATTATAATATGGGAGAACAACTTTTTCCCACCCAAGGTTTGGCGAAATGACACTTTTTCACCTAACAAGTTTCAAAATGACACTTTTCCACCTAACAAGTTTTAAAATGACACTTTCCCACCCTTTGTTAGGTTTTATTAGTGTTTCATGGTAATATTTGACTAAAAAGATAAAAATACCCTTAATTAGTTGATTTTTTAATTAGTTTATTATTAATTAAAATTTAGATAAGCTAAAGTCTTTACTCAATTATTTATTAGTTCAAGTGTAAAAATATTTTTTTTTCTTTGTTTATTTAATTAATTAGGAATATTGATTTTTTATGTTAATTAGTAAAAATGAAAAACATTATAAATTTAATAGATTATTGAATAATAATGATGAGATATTTATGACATTATAAATAAATAAATATTAAAATTATTTAACTTTAAACAATTGCATAGCATTAATCCAAGCTTTTAAGGTAGGGGTTAACTATTTTTTCTTTTTTGACTTTTTAATATTTGACTTTTTTACCAAATAAAAAATTTATAAAATCAACTATTTAAGGGTATTTTCGTCTTTTCAATAAAATATTAACGAAAAATATAACAGAACCTAACGAAAGGTGGGAAAATGTCATTTTGAAACTTGAAAGGTGGGAAAGTATTGTTTTGCCAAACCCCGGGTGGGAAAATGTCGTTCTCCCTTATAATATTTGTATTTATGGATAATAAAGTTCACTCAAATTTAATTCCCAAAATTAATTCCACAACTATACTTTGATGTAAAATTTAATAATATATAATATGGGCGAACGACGTATTGATACCCAAGGTTTGTCAAAACGACAGTTGGTACCTAAAAGGTTTTGAAACGACAAACAGGTACCTTCCGTCATGTTCTGTTAGTGATTTTCATTTGATAATAGTGAAAAGACTAAAATGCCCTTAAAAGTTTAATATTTTAGTTTTTTTATAAATTTAAAAATTTCTAAAAAACCCCCAGGTTTGCTAATTTGACTAAATACCCCAATATATAAAAAGTTTATAAAATAACAAATACACCCCCGCCACCCACAGTGCCAGATTCCGGCCACCGCCGCCGGAACCTGGCCGGAAAATTGCATTACGACACAGACCCATCGGATCTGTGTCGTAACGCGTAGATCTTTCATTTTCCGGCAAGATCCGTGGCTGATCTGGACGGAAAAGGCCAGATCTACGGCCGTCGAGACCGGGAACTTGCCGGAAAATTGTGTTACGACACAGACCCATCGGATCTGTGTCGTAACACCTCGATCTGGCATTTTCCGGCCAGATCCGTGGAGGATCTGGCCGGAAAAGGCCAGATCTGGCCGTCGAGGCCGAAAAAGGCCAGACGTAGATCTGGCCTTTTCCGGCCAGATCCGTGGCGGATCTGGCCGGAAAATGCCAGATCGGCGTGTTACGACACAGATCCGACGGTTCTGTGTCGTAACACAATTTTCCGGCCAGATTCCGGCGGCGGTGGCCGGAATCTGGCACTGTGGGTGGCGGGGGTGTTTTTGTTATTTTATAAAATTTTTATATATTGGGCATTTAGTCAAATTAGCAAACTTAGGGGGTTTTTAGAAATTTTTAAATTTATAAAAAACTAAAAATTAAACTTTCAAGGGCATTTTAGTCTTTTTACTATTATCAAACGAAAATCACTAACAGAACATGACGGAAGGTACCCATTTGTCGTTTCAAAACCTTTTGAGTACCAACTTGTCGTTTCGGCAAACATTGGGTATGTATAAGTCGTTCCCCCTATATAATATTTGCAAAAACATTTGAAATACAATATCAAATAGACCCTTGTTCATGCCACATTTAATTTACATTTACAAATCAAAATACCCAGTTCGATTAGCATTTGGGGAAAATGGAATTGGGTATTATCTCTTCTGTCTCCGCTCCTATCCTGTCGTTCGTAGTCAAATATATCATCTTCTTCTCCGGCGAAGGTAATAGCGAGGACAGAGCAGAGTTGCTAGAACTTCAACTGCTGCTTCTCCGAGGGATACTTGCCATTGAAGGTGCGTGATTTATTCTGCTCATATTGGAGTTTAATTTTCTTCCTCTTCAGAGTCCTAGTTATGGATGACTTATGGAACTAATGTAATTTCCCTAGTTTCTATGATGAATGGTGTTTAAGGTTCTTAACTGATGCCTCTCCCCTCTGCATATTGTACCACTATTTCCATTATCATGATTGTGATTTTTTATCACCGTGATACATGTTTTGACTATTGAAACTTTTTTTTTCCAAAAACGAATGAGTGATTTACCAAAAAATTATCGATATTTTCTTTTGACTAAAACCTAAAGGCAATTGACAGTAATGTATCTGATAGTTTCTTTTTTCCCTCCAAATTACACAAGGCTGTTATATATAAATTAAATTGGCTCCTTAGAAGCATGTTGCAATCCCCTGGTAACGACCAATATATTGGTGATGATTTGTGGTTTGTTTTTTTGGCTTTACTTAAAAGATTTAACTAAACATGGATCAGTCCACATAATAGCTTATAAAGTCATGTCATTTTGGAAACAGATGAATGCAAATTCCTGCCCAAAGGAGATTCCAGATTATTAGTTCAATTGTACATCCTCATCTAGTTTGTTTAGATTTTTAGGTGACCCACTGAAAGCCTTAGATTTGATATCTTACTAATCCTAGTGTTGTGTGTCATCGTTGGGAGATAATAACTTTTGTAATTTTCTATATTGGAATGACGGTGCCTCTAGTATTTTGTGTGTGATAGGTTTTTTATCTTGCCAATACCTTGGGAGTGATGGAAAAGTAAAAATATGACCAAATATTTCTGTGTTATGAATTGAATTTATTGCTGAAGGAAAAACAAGTATTGCACTTGAAATGCTAATGTTTTGTTTGCTGAGAAGAGAAGAATGGGAACTTGGAATACACCATAAAAGTCTAATATTCTTCTTCATCATAATGTATTACATTCCGATTAGTTTTCAATAAATTTTTATCTTAAGTGATATATCAACCCTATGTGGTATTATGATGTCACTTACCCTATCAACTCATCGTACACATATCACAAGGATAACACATTTCTTTGAATAGGAGTTTCGGGATGCTACTTGGGATGTCTAGTATTTCACTCTTCAATAGGACCGTTTTCTAAATTGATGCTAAATGGTGTTGTTTATACTACTGCAATTTGCAGCAACAGCTTGCTACTACTTCAAACTTGAATTGCTGCTTTTACACTTATAAAATCAATTGTGACATTGGATCTTTGACAGACAATTTGGAAAATTACGTGGATTCCACAACCAATAATTTATTCTCTATTGTTTATAAATAATTCTTTATATATGTAATCTTTGCAGGAACAGTGTCATTAACTAGAGAAAACATTGAGCTTCAAGATGCAACCACTATTGCTGCAAAGTCAACTTCAAATAGGCCTCCACAACCTAGGCCAAATGTTAAGTCCGAGGTGTGGCAACATTTTGAGAACATTGTTAACAAGAGAACCAACAAGATTGAGTGGAAAAGTGCGTGTATTGTGATAAGATCTTGTTGTATAGTGTGGCTAATGGCACTTCTTCGACGCACAAGCATCTTACAAGTTGCAAGAAGTTTCCTTACAATGTGGACAGTTTGCAGACACTTCTCTTGTCTTTCAAGACCACACAAAAAGATGGAGAGCAAAGAAGTGAGATTGATACTTGGAGATTTAATCAAGAGGAGTGTAGCAGTTGCTTGCTGAAATGTTAATCACTATGGAAGATCCTTTCACAAAGTTTGAGCTTCTATCGTTTAAAAAATTTTTGGGTGTAATGCGTTATGGAAGAATTTTCCCGTTTCACAATGGCAAGGGATTGTTCAAAGATCTACAATTGTGAGAAAGTTTCACTCAAGAACAAGTTGTGGCATTTGAAGTCTAAAACTGCCTTGACAACCGACATATGGACTTCTATTCAAAATTACAGCTATTTATGTCTCATTGGTCATTTCACTGATGATAAATGGGTTCTGTAGAAGAAAATTCTGAGTTTTGTGAGAGTTAGTAGTCATAAGGGTAGGGAGATCGGGAAGGTGGTAGAGAAGTGTATTCTTGACTAGGGAATTGAAAATAAAGTGTCCATTATAACGGTGGATAATGCAACTGTTAATGATCTGGTAATGACTTACTTGAGGGAGAGATATGTGGATAGGAATACTCTGATTCTAAATGGTGAACATTTTCATATGAGATGTACAGCTCATATTTTGAATTTCATTGTGAATGATGGTCTTAGCGAGATCAAGGATTGTGTTAGCCGAATTCGTAATTCAATTATGTAAAGAGTTCTCCTAGTAGATGTTAGAGTAAGTGCTCTAGAGTCAATCAATTGTTGTAGAATTGACTTTTTGTAATAATATTTATTAATCAATAAAAGGCATTTTATTTTATATCATGTAAATCATATCTGTATGTATTGATATATGTCTTTAAGATGGTAAAACTGTCACTAGGGTATCAAGTGTTTCAAATCTTAATAGTGAGAACCTTATTATCACATATGGTAGTCATTCTAGAAATGTCCGTAGCCCCAGTATTATTCTGACCAAGGACTCAGATAATACGGTGAGGCTATCATAGTGTTGAACAACTCTGTCGAAAGACAGTGACTGATCTCACTTGTCAAGGTTGTTTGCCAACAACCTAGTGTAATGCATGAGTGCTTGTTATAGGCAAGTTCACTAGACAAGCCCACCAGAGGATTCCATATGGATGATAACCCCAATGTCTATGGAACAAATCCTCTAACGAATAGTGGCGCATGTGATCCTTAGACTTGATATCATCAGAGTGCCTTGTGCACCGATTGATGTAGTTTGACACTAGCCCAATGTAGTTCTATTCAGAGCTATTCATACGGTAGTGATTGGCTACACCAAGGGGTGTATCAAGATTATGATGTATCGACAAAAGATTCATCACTCCTGGGTACGGGAGAAGTTATCTCACTACACAATTCAGTAAATGACAATGACACTAAATCTGTGGCCACAATGGGATTGAGTTGTTGCTTAATCCAATTTATTTATCCGGTCATTGTCCAATAATTGAATACAAAGATATAGAGAATAACTAAGGTTGATACTATTTTTGTACCTCAGCCTCGATAAGATAACGTATGATGAAAGAATTTGATTGCACGATAACCATATCGTTAATTTGAATCTATCGAGTGGCCATGATGCCCTATAAGTGTCAATCTTGGTATGTGTTTAGTGAGACGATTGATTAGTGTCAATCGCGAGACTATTCACTACCGATATGATGAGGAGCTTACAGGTCACACTAGACTTGGGCATTTGGGACTGGTCCCAAAAACCCGGCCCAAGAGACTGGTCCTAAGACTGGTCCTTATAAGGCATGGTCCTAGGAGGGCTTGGTCCCAAACCGGACCAAACCTATGGGAGGAGCGACCTGTCCCTTGATCGGGCCCTCCTCAAAGGCCCAAGCCTGGGACCGGTCATAGGCCTAGGTCCAAACCTATTTAAAAAATTTTGAAACAGTCTTTTGTAAAATATCCAAAAACCCCTTGATAATATTGAAATTGACAAAAAATATTAAGGGTTAAATTGATATTTTATAAAAAATTAATACAAATAAACTGCCAACGGTCATGTGCTCTTTTGGGGGGGGGGGGGGGGGGGGGGGATGGGGGGCATTTTTTTTTTTTCATTTTCCCCCTAATCCTACACTATAAATAATCCCTCACACTTCCATTTTTTTTCACACCAACACTCAATCTCTCATTCTCCAAATCTCTCTACTCCAATCCAATTCTTATTCATATTTTCTTCAATTCAATTTATATTTATATTTATAATTTATTTATATTATTCAATTTTTTCTGTTTTTCAATATCATCTCTTACTCATATTATTATTTAATTTTTTTTAATTTTAATTATTTATTATTTTATCATAAATTCATAATGGAAGGGCCAAATGAGTACTACATTCTATTAACCGAAGAAATGGAAGGGTTCGATCCATTTTCACCCTTTCTAGAAGCAGCAGCTGCAATTCAACAACAACAACTACATTCAGCCGGGACGGGGTGCAACCAAACACAAGCAAGCTACAACTCCATGACCCAACCCCCCGACCGTCAAAGAGGGTCGTGTCCGATGTATGGCGATACTTCACCAAATCAAAATGGGCAAAGGCAAATGGGGAGGGGAAAGAATCGTGTGGGCTATGTAATTTATGTGGAACCGTTATCGGCACTGAGAAGGGGACTTCGACGATGCGACGACATTTGGAGAAAAAACACCCTCAAATAATGCAGCTATCTGGTTCATCTTCAACTGGACCAAGTAGGCAAATTCAAACTCAACTTAATTTTAATCCACAATCCTCAACTTTGTCAACATGGCAATACAATGCACTCCAAGCACGAGAGAAAATAGCAAAATATATAGTTGCTACGGACTCTCCCTTTTCTTTATCTGAAAATCCTTTTTTTATTCACTTGATTAAAATTGCATTTTGTCTAGCATATACCCCTATTAGTAGAAATACAAGTAGAAGAGACATACTAAAACTTTATAACCAAATAAATATTCAACTTAAAAATGAATTTCAAAATTTTAGGAATATATCTATTGCACTTGCTTCAGATATATGGGCTTGTAGATCAAAAACAGATTTTTTAACTGTCACAATACATTACTTAGATCATGGTTGGGGTTTACAACAAAAATTGATAGGTTTTAGACCATTATATACTGCACATAATGCTGACACTATTTATTTTACAATACTTGAAGTTTTGCAAGAATATGTATTAACTGATAGAGTTGTAGTGCTAACGCTAGATAATACAACTGCTAACACCGCGACTATCTCTTTATTTGAAAAGAGATTGGATCCGCTTAGTGAAGGCAAATTTTTTCACCAGAGATGTGCTTGCCACATCATCAATTTGATTGTTAAAGCAAGTTTAGAAGCTATAAATTCGAAGATTGAAAGGGTGCGCACAGCTATCAGATTCATCGT